AAGTTATGCCATAACTCATAATTATGTGTATGAAACAAACATTACATATACAAAAAAAATATAAACAAACCACAACATCACTCTAACAACTTCGAAAAAAAGAACAATTTAACGTAAATACACCTACGCGTTTTGAATTACCTAACACAAGGTGTCTGTGTGCCTGCGACTCTTCAAAACCGATCGGAATAAAAAAAAACATAATTAATACCCAAATTGTTTTTCAAGGCTATAATCTCCATCTAAACCAAATTTCATCGAGATCACGCAGTTGTTTTGGAAATACCTTCTAACAAACATCCAGCCATCCATCCACACATTAGCATTTATAATATTATTAAGAATATTATTCGATTTATAGTACAGAAGTCAACATAACCGTATAAATAACCCACAGTTCTCTTTCGACATAAATTCAATTCTAGGAGTTCTCATAGTATTAATTGTAACGAAATAGTAGTAGTATTTTGCGTGGGGATATTCTACGCTGCCAGAGTCGACTAGTTTCCATGAAAACATCTGTTGAAATGTCAGATTATTCACACGCTTAATTGCACACTAGGACTATGACTAGGCTACAATCATATACTATTAATAGACATACTAAGTTAATCATTACTTTGAGTTCTAAGTAAAACAGGCCAACCTGACAAAGTCGATTTAAAAAGCCTGGGTACAAATCTATCGTCGCGTTTATTATCTGATTGTCAAGGACTAACGTTTTACGTGCCTATGTATATAGGTCCCAGAGCGTAAACTACTTATAAAGAATTTGGCGAGTAAGACGTTATTGGATTCGTCTTGTTCCTCGGAATGTCAGAGTATTTTACATCGGCATAAAACACACAGTGGACGTAAGAAATAAAATGTAAAATTAGTGAAAAACGAGTTCAAATCTAATTCGCCATACCTTGTGTTAATTTTGCTTACTTAATTTTTACAATTTTTTATGTTTTCCACTATGTTCTAAAATTGTTACATATGACAAAAAAGTTTGTTTAGTTTAATCTTAAAAAAAAATTGTTTTAAAATGCATCTAATAGATGGCGCTATTTCATCCATTAGCGCCCGTCAGTCAGGTTTTTGTTTTAATTAGAACAAAATTTTAGACCTATTCTTACAAAAACTGTTTTTAAAGAATACCGATTACTTTTACCATAAAGTATGCTATAGTAGCCTAACAATACAAATCCAATGTCAAGGCAATAAACGATAAATAACAGTATTCACATCGTCATAAAAATTGTAACGCATAATAAAACTATAACGTTTTGTCATTCAGTAAACCTGACTCACCATAAGGAATGCGAGTTTGGATAACCTTATGTATTTTAGAAAAATAGCAATCAATGTGTTGACAAGTTTTATGTTTTTTTTTGTCATTTTTGTCACCAATTTATGCTTTGACTTGAGGTTTTCGAAGCAAGAATATTTGTTAACACTTTATGTGCCATCAACTGGTCTGATTAATTTACTTTTGTATGTACATAGATTGTAGTGACATTTAATTTGTTAATAGATACAGTTGTATAATACCAAACAATATGATGCTAAACTACCTATAAAATAAAAGTTGGCAAACAATTAAATATTTAACCAATTTACTTCCTCACGGGGAATTAAAAGTTAACGATATAAAAACTAGCCGCTAACAATTTACCAGAGTAATGGATAGGCTTGCAGTCTTTTCCATTTCAGGGGTTTAATGTTGGGAGTAAGCCATGTGCAACATATAAAAAAATATATATAAAGAAAAATATTATAATACATAATAGCAACAAAAATAATTAATACACCCAGTGTAAAACAGAAATTTAGACAACAAATAACACGAGCATACTACAATACACCTAACTCCTTAAAATATTGTTCCCGTTAGGCCCTCAACTTGATTCAAATGGATTTTCACTGTCAAAAACATGTATCCAAAACATATGTCACTTGTACAGTCAGCGTCATATAGATCGTCACAGACAAGATATGCAAATATATAGGTACATCAAAAGTAATCAATTATATCGGTACAACAAAAGTCCTCAAAATAATAGATACATTCACCCTGCTCAAATACATCGGTACATACAAAGCGTCAAATATATGAGTACATGCAAGATGCTCATAAATATCGTAGCAGCCACAGCGTCATAAGTAACGAAGCAGTCAAGGTGCGCAAAAATATCGGTACATTTGACAAAATTGAACTCTATCTCTATATACTTGTGATACAATTTGGAATAAACTACTTCTGTTACATTCATTTGACACTTTGCATCAAACCATTTTTCAAAATTTACTAAAAGTGTTCGACGCGGATGACAGATATTAGGTAGATAAAACCAACATCAAATTTAAGTTTGTCATCATATATGCTAGTTTGGTCTCGTGGCCTTACCGTTCGCCGCCGTTGGTACGTGAGGTCGGCGGTTCAAATCCCAAGCCACTATTTTTTTTTTTGATATTTAAACTTTTTAATTTTAATATCGAAGCACATGTAATTAAACTCTATCGCCGTAGTTATTAGGTACTTTTTGATAATGCCTTGGACTAATGAGTTTGACCGTTAAAGTACTTTTCTATTTCAAACAAAAATGAAGAAGATAAAGCGATGCTATTGGCATGTAATTTGTTTATTACTCATGTTTGTTAAACTTGTACCGGTAAAAATAACACTTTTACTTTTACCTTTTACTGATACTGATTATATTTAAGAAACAAAGAAAAAAAACTGAATGTCAATATCCAAACTACATCAAATTTTTGGTCGATTGCAATAAACATTCCAGTGTGCGTGGGCGCGCACACATATGTAGATAACACTTGTACGTATAGTTTCCGCGCGTACCATTCTTAAAACCCGCTAAGACAATCCACGCTCCGCCCACTCACTTCACCCGCGATGGTCTGACATAATTGTTGTTAACTTTATTTAAATTTCTTTCTACCCAACAGCGAAAATTATAAAAAAAAATTGTCGAGCAAAATTTTACATTACCAAATTTTTACTGGTTATGAAAAAATAACCCCTTGATTGATAAAATGAAAAAAAAGTAGCCTGAGATTCGAACCGGTAAACTTACATATTACGGCAAACATACTAGAATACTGCGCCAAACTAGTATTATATATATTGTGACAAGGCAAAATTTGATATTAGTTAATACGTATCTGTCATATTCGGCGTGACAAACTTTTATATTTAAGCGTTATGACAGGAGAAGAAAAATATTGGGTTGCCCAGTAAGTTCGTGCCGCTTTATAAGGAAAATTGAAACCCTGTTCTCTTAAATTTTTGGAAATGTTTTTAAATTATATTGGTACGACTCTATACCTAAAACGTCTTTTATTATTGGATAAAATTTTAAAAATTAGTTTTTATCTCAACCAATGAAATGAAATTATTCACAATATAGAAATTTTTGTGACGTTTGATAATGGTGGAAATCCGAAAATGAATCCACTTCAGCTACAGTCTATTGTAAGCTTTATATCGAAAATCAGAACGAACTTTCCGGACAACCTATAATGTTACTACAAAGTGTCAAATGAATGTAACAGAAGTAGTTTATTCCAAATTGTATCACAAGTATATAGAGATAGAGTTCAATTTTGTCAAATGTACCGATATTTTTGCGCACCTTGACTGCTTCGTTACTTGTGACGCTGTGGCTGCTACGATATTTATGAGCATCTTGCATGTACTCATATATTTGACGCTTTGTATGTACCGATGTATTTGAGCAGGGTGAATGTATCTATTATTTTGAGGGCTTTTGTTGTACCGATATAATTGATTACTTTTGGTGTACCTATATATTTGCATATCTTGTCTGTGACGATCTATATGACGCTGACTGTACAAGTGTTTTCGTTCAACTGGAATTTTGCATGTTGATTGAAAATAATTGCATCACTAGTATACTTGGTAATATTTTTCTCTTCAAGGAAATAGAAAACCTAAACCATGAGTTTCCTTGTAAGAATTGAATAAAAGTTATTTTAGTTTTTAATAATCTGTGTTATTATTTTGGTATAAACTATTTATAAAAAAATTGTTATTCTTTAGTAGTGTTATTTAATATAATATAAAAATATTTATTTTTTCACGGGTAATGAAGAAATGTATATAAATAATCTTATCACATAAATAAACAGACAAACACAATGAATTTAATGGCCTTTTTCTTTACTGTTCAGTAATATAGGTTATGATATTTTAAACTTATACAGTGCTCAAGCTATTTTGGTACAAAACAGACAATTAAACAAGGATAAAAGGAAAAAGTATTTTGCAAGGTCAGCCATGAAAATTAGTCAAATCATATCTCAGATTGTCAAGACTCATCCCGGAGATTGGTATCAATGTTATGCTGTTGACGAAACATCTGGAATGAGTTGATTCGTAAAAACTTATAGTTACATTGTTCTAACCTAACCTATATAGTCAGTACATACCAAAGTTATTTCAGTAATTATTTATTTAAAAACGGTATATTTTAGTTTTACCACACAAACCTAATGTCTATATAGATTTTGTACATCACTACTATTACAACATTGATGTAAAACTGAATAGTGAGGTTAAAAACCTGCACCATAACAAATCAAAAACAACCTGCATTGGATGTTGGATTATTTATAAACATTTGACAAGTAGTTGCTGGTTTAGTGCTCGAACTAGAATCAGCTGATAAGGGCGACACCGCTGGCAGGTTCGTTCATTTGGCTAGGCACGGCATGAGCATGCTTTACTGCTAACTCAAATCAGTCAGTTTACACTCGTTTTACGCGCAGATCCACGTCGCTGAGACAAGCGCGGCGGCAACGCGTGGACCGACTGTGACTAATGAAGTCATCGTGCCACTACGACGGCTGCGCCACATAACGATGCACAAAATCGAATACCATAATTTATTAACTCATGCAAGATTACCGTCGTAGTCGGCCTACATGCGCAGACATCTCACCCCGACCCCACTGCACACTAACTACCCAGTACTCACCGTCACTTTCCATTGTCTCAGGCACGATGCACAATATAAACAACGATCAAACCACATAATAAAACAAAATGGAAGTCCGACTCGCCCGACGCGAGATGAGAAATTTTATTAGCACCACGAACACCTCTCGAGTAGTAAAACGTTGTTACTATCCTATCGTAGTATTTTAGCAGCCCCCCACCAGTCCATTATCTGCCTTGACCACACTCAAATTGTTCACGATCACAAGACAATATGTCCACTAAACATCAATATTAATCACAACTAGATTATTCCGATGATAAGTTGCATCAAATTCAACATTCACTTGAAAATAATAATCACTAAAGCGTTTGACATCCCGAGACACAACACCCACATCAAAAATCCTACATGGCGACTGGCCTGGCCTGGCTCATAATAATTTCCACTCAAACGTATTTCCATTTCGCTTGTTCACCATTCATTTGATTATTTCTCAATACGAGTAAACGAGATAGAAATATATAAATATTTCCTATGTATGAATAGAATCGGTGTTGTTAAGTGTCCCTCCCCGGCGCTGCCCGAAACTGAGTTGAATGGACCCGAGACGCGCTCGACCATTGGATCGATGACAGTCACGTGACACAAATATGGCTCGCTTCAAAATGCTACCCGCGAATGTTTAAAGTTAGCTCCGTTCTTTGTTTCATGATGTGTTATGTTATAATGCGAATGCGGTAGGACTATTTCATCTATGGCATTATTTAAGTAAAATTGATCGTAATTTATTTTTTTGGTTACATAATACGCAGTAAGAATGCTGCTAACCGGTGTTGTCTAGACATTTCTTTCTTCTTCTGACAAGACAAACATTTCTTCTGACTTTCCATCCTGTGCTTATAGTCCACTGTTTGTCCAACTCGATGCCAGCGCTTGTTCGATTAGATTAAGAAAAGATCCTTACTGCTTCTAATAAAATATCGTCTTCTCTGGGTTCACATATTTAAAGTAGGTCATACAAAAAAGATAACTAGATGGACAGACAATACTTGCATGGTCATCTATACCATAAGAGTTGTGTCGACATTTAAGAAGGAACAGACCATATTTTGTTATCGTACAATAATAATTGTATAAAACATAAACGATTGCTATCCTCAGCCCTTTCCTTATGCCAATTAAGTAAGGTTGGCGCACCAGTTTTATGCTACTCCTTTCTTTAAGCGGTTACTATCAGCTTAAGCAAAAGTAAAAGACGTAATACCTTAGTAAAATATTTTATTTACTTAGCACAAACAGAATGTTGTAGTGAATCAGAACTTCATAAGTGCAGGTTAATATCAAGATTGTAGGGATGAAGGCGTTTTAAAGGTTTTTTTTTATTCTTCGATGTTTTGATTACGTTACAGATTTATTTTGGTAGTGAAAACCCGTTGCTACTATGTGTGACCTTAAGCACATAATATTATTTGAAAAGGTTAAGATTCTAAGCTTTGTTACGCTAAAATTAACAAATCACGGCAACATTTTCTGAAGAATGTCCTTTAAATATAATTGTGCAAAGCGCATGTGCATGATACCATGTCTCTATACTATATGTATTATAATAAGACTTAATATTCTACAATTTCAAAATACAATTGTAGTTCAATAAAAGATCTTGCGTTTTTTCGCAAAATTACAACTAAAATGATTATGATACTAAAGCAATGACTGGAAAGAAAGACCAATGTTGTAGAAATTAAATAAAAATAAAATAATTTTGGCTTTGAATATATTTATTGTGTAAGAAAATATATCCTACTTACTTAAAATTATGTAATGACTTTTAAACTTAACTTTCAATTGAGGAAAAGAAAATTAGTATAAAGTGAAATATCATTGTTACAATTTAAGATCAAAACGATTGGAAAAATTAAACAAAACACAATTTTTACGTCTAATTCCCATTACATTCTATACTGGGTTTTAATTATATCTATCAATAATTTAAACAATATATATGATGTTACGTACTCATTATATATTTTTTTAATTGAGTTGTAGTGATAAGCAGCAATTTATGTACAATATGCTATTTCTCAAAATCTATGTTTTTGAAGATTTGTGATTGATATATAATAGTTGTGCAATAAAATGTTATATGCCGAGGCCAAAGACAGACACAATGCAGTACATAGTCTTGTTTTCCCAACGCACAGTGCAGGATCCATCGGTATTATTGTCCCAAAAGCACGAAGAGGCTGTGTGAAGTCCCGCACCATTCTTCTGCATAATTGTACAGGTTACTGAAATAGAGAAAAACACTTCATTTAATTTTTTTTTATATCGTAAGGTGCCAAACGAGCGAGCGGCCACCTGAAATCGCTGAAATAGCGAAGTGACCGTTGCCCATAGACATGCAATGGCATAGGCGTTGCCTACCGTTAATCGACGGAGGAGAGGATGTACAGAAAGAAAACATTTTCCCTTCCCATGCATCCTCTCATCCGGAAAGTCCACTTCCACTTCCCGTCCTTTCCTTTTAAGAAAAAGGGTGGGAAGGGAAATTAGGCCTCCGGGATGCACACTCATCAGACGAAACATGGAATTACTTCTACTTCACGTCTGTCTTCTGTGTGGTCGTGGTATTTCACCAGGCAAGCCAGGCCAATTCTTCCGAAGATGTTAAAGCGGGCTCTACTACTGTTAAAAAATCTAAGACTAAGAAACAATTGTATTCAAGTGAATTTTTGATTAAAAATTGGTATATACTATACTCAGTAACAAGATTTGTTAGCTAAATAGAATCCGTAAGAAAATTACTTAAATAAGAAACTTGAAGTTTTTTGTCCTCACATATGCTTTTGACTTATTCTAATAAGGTAGCCTAAACAAACAAGCCTTAGCAAATTTTGAAGAGATGTTGGAGGCAGACATGTTTATTGTATTAACCTTTCACTTGTTTTAAAACTGACGACTACATAATAAGAGAAACATGTAATAAAAATAGCTTTAAAAGCATTATGTAACAGCATAATTTCAGGATTTATATGACACATTAAAATTGCAAAATCTTATTAGGTATCCCTGTTAAGTTTAGTGTGCCCAAATGCCTTTAATTATTGCTGAATGTCACAAGTTATAAGAAAAATATTGCAATTTGCTTCATCAACGACACAACTAAATACATCAAATACCCGAAAACAATGTATTTTAAACACAATACTATAACTTTGTCACCGGTGTTCGGGAATTAGTGCAAAACGAACGGAACTTACCTATATATTTATAAGGTTTTTGTAACTTAGTTAGCTGGCTCAAGCAAGACTCCACAACTGCCGATGTCCACTGATTAACTTTATTATGTTGATAGGCCGTGCCTCCGATGGAATTTTCAATGGCTTCTTTTATAATTTTACTCACATCGTCAACGATGAATTGATTCTGAAACACGTCATGTCACCAGAATAACAATCAATACTTTCTCTAGTTACAAACTAAATTGATTTAAACTCACCTCTTCTGTCAAATCACTACATTCTTTAACTTCCATGATTTAATAATAAGTTGTTGTGTGTAATAAAATAATTGGAAACTATAAAAACAACAAAATTTCACGCCACAGGAAGAAATCAAACTTCTAAATAGTTTTTGCTTGACATTTGGTTTTGTTTAGAAATGACAGATTATGTAAAAGTATCGATGGTGAAAAGACTTGGTTCGACTTTTTTAACACTTTATTGTTCTTTTTGAAACCATTCATATAACATACCACATGTTTTTTTTCGCCTTGTTGAAATATATTTGCTAATTTTGTCGTAGTTAAATAAATGTTTAAAATAAAACTTTTTTTTAAATAGATTTTCACAAATAAAATTTTGAAGCTTGTAACACTATTGGTAACTTTCATTTTGAGATTGTCATTTTCGTACGAGTTGAATAATGGATATTTTCATAATAAATTGGCATTAATGGCTTCATCCGTTCATAATAACAGGTTGTCATCCCCAAGATCTTTTGGATGTTGCAGGACTTGCAACATGTGGTGTTGGAGAGCTTTTAAGTGGCTCCCTGTAATTTTGGTAGTGTCGATCATATCTTGGTCTTACTATGCCTACGTTATCCAATTGTGCATTTGTAAGTAATTTATCCACTAATAATAATTGAAGATAACTTTATATTATTTTGTTAAATTTCAATATAATTTTATTTTTCAGTTACACTTGAAAGTACCGTTCAAAAAACTATATATCTGCTAGTTTATCACATTCTTTTGATAATGTTTTGCTGGTCGTATTGGCGGACGATTTTTGCAGATATAAAACAGATTCCCGAAAAAGTGAGTATAATTTTTTAACCCACAAACACACCTATTTAATTTTTTTTTTGCTACAAAATGAAATTATCCTTTGTCAGTAAATCCTCAGTTAACAAATAGTAACAATGTGTATCCATGACCTGAATAATTGCTTGTGATTTATATAGTCATATTTACATTTTATTTTTAAACCTAGACTAAGTTGCTGTTAAAGTGCTACTAAATTTCTAGCCAGTTGTAATCAATATTCTTTTGTGTTGTAAAAGATTTAACCTGTTTTGTTTAGATGGTGTAGTTTTTTATAGAAAGTGTATACTGTTTTGATCTTATTATCAATTTAAAAATTACCAATCTTCAGCTTCATAAATTAATTTAATTTTAACTTGAATACCAAGCATTATGATTACATTACCTCATTTGTGGTCATTTACATACTTTCTTATTACATAAAAAGGCATTATCATTTATTTATTGTCATAACAGTACAACAATCAACAATTGACATTTTTTTAATTGTTCATTTGCACATTGTGTGGTATATCTCCTTTAATTTATTTTATATATATTTTATTTATTTTCAACTTATTTCTTACCTATTTTATTATTTTCAAGTCATTGTAGTGGATTATTTATCTTATTAACAGTATAAATGCGAAAGTATAAATGGATGGATGGAAGATGTTTGTTAGAATGTATTTACAACTACTAAAGGGATTTTGCTCAAATTTGGCATAGATTTAGTAGTTTAGCTAGTTTTAAATACTTACAAATTTATGTATTTTTTGACTATCAATTGATATATTATATAATTTTCAGTACAAATTACCTGGTGAAGAATTGGACAAATTGCTTAGTGCTGAATCAGAAGATGCTCAAAGGACAATATTAGATAATTTTGCCAAAGATCTACCTGTACTTACAAGGTAATCAAACAATATTTCTAGTCTTTAATTTCATTAAGCCATGTATAGTTCAATTGTAAGGAAGTAGTAGATCAAATGAATAATAGGTAGGATTTTACGGCATTTTGAGTGAACATGTGCAAGGCACAATTATATTTCCAAGTGTAAAGTTGGATATCAATGTTTATGTTCGCTAACTTGTGTTGGTGTCACAATATATATATATATATATGGCAGTGACAACATATTGGTCTACTTGTAGAACGATGTCAGGCTCGGTACGTTACTGCAACCGTTGCGTGCTGGTGAAACCGGACCGCGCGCACCACTGCAGCATCTGTGCTCGCTGCGTTCTCAAGATGGACCACCACTGCCCGTGGGTCAACAACTGTGTCTGCTTCCACAATTACAAGTTCTTCATGCTCTTCCTCGGTTATGCTCTTATCTACTGTCTATTCATCATGTCAACGTGCCTGCCTTACTTCATTAAGTTCTGGAAGGTAGACCACTTGAATCTTACTATCTTTAAACTTTTTTTTATAACTTCTGTTGTTTTGCATGATAGTATATTTAGAATTGCGAATGATTGTTTTGTCTTTAAAATGTAGATAACCTGACAATTGTTGTGCAGAAAATAATACATTTATGTATTCACCTCAAAATTAGATGTTGCAATTTTTTACAAGACATTAAATTAAGCTTCGCTAAATTTCTTCCTACACAATATGCTATGGTAATTTAAATTGTGAAGATTTTAAATTAGGTTTAATCAAACTATAAACATAACCATGAAATCTACAGATTTCTACTACTACAGATGCGTGACGTCATAGTCAAGACAAACTGTGACAAGGTTCTGATAACAATCACTCTGATGATATCATTGTTTTAACCAATCATTATTAATCATTATTTTTACTTTAATATAATACTATATAAATTTTCATTTGTATGCTGAATGGATTATATCAAACATTGCTTGAAACCTAATTTTATCTTGTGTATGTGTACACAATATTAGCGAAGCAAGCATTAAATTTCATAATTTAATATAATTAATTAATTTAATGTTCATCAATCTCGTTGGAATACATCTAAGGAAGCACAATAATAATGTGATAGTTTGAATTTTTTCATAAAATGTAGTTCTTGTAAAAATTATATAAGAACTTTGTTTCAAATAGCCCAGGATCCAAACATTTTAAGGGGCTCACATCAATTTCTATACATATTGAGAATCCAAGTTTATCCAATAAACAAACAAATCCCATGTTCATGAAATATTGGTGATTGGAATTTGTATGAGACAAGTAAATTTCTTCTTCATTGTAAAGTGCGTTGTTTATGGTTTTAACGTTTCGCATACATAAGCTTGCGTAATATAAGCATATATTTACACATTACATAGTTTTATAACTATGTTATGAAACATATAAAGTGCTCCATAAATCGCAATACTAGAGTGAAGCAGACTTCCTTACTGTGGATATCTGAACACATAAATATCCCATAAAGTCAATACAATTTGACAATCTAAACTCTAAAAAATATAGAACTATACCATTTTTTATATCTAAAAATAGAGGTCTGATTTTGATATGTGCCATAGTCTTAGCCCAGCTTAAAATAATGCTACTGAACCCTTGAAAAGATATATCGGATTTAGCATAAAAAATTGTGTATAACGGCTTCAGACCGCGCCTTATGTCGCAAACAATGTTATTTGCAATTTAAGTACTGTTTTATATGCATTCGGTAGACACTTGAATCCAGGCTATAAGAAAACTTGATGCATGATATTGATTTGATATTGTAGACGTACGTGTTTTTTTAGAGATACGATGGGAATTAATTCTTAGTTGCAAGTTTTTTTTAAAGTTAGCTCACGACTTTATAGTATATAGGAAAAACATTCCCAAATCCCCTGCTAATACCGACGAATCGAGGCTGTCGGACTATTTATCTATGTGTGTGTACAGAGAAATTGCGTACGTGGGTGAAAGTGCAGGAAATTGTAGCGCCATAGACAAAAATATCGTGTGCTACATTTTAACTATATTCGTTCGAGTCAATTAGTATTATAACACAATTACCATGGGTTTCTGAGACCAAAGTCTCCGTTTAAATCTCTGTTTTATCAAAGATAATGGCAGGAATGACGATATGTTTTATACAGAGATTTTGGTCTCAGAAACCAACGGCTAATAAGTTTGTTCGGATGTAAAATGTTTTTTTTAATTTCCGCTACACCGCCCGCGTTCGCCCTCTCATGCATCCCCTATGTTAAAATGATGTGTCGCAACTGTCCACAGATGTATCAGAAATACAAGCATGCCCACTGCGATCGTTTGATTGAGAATGGCACATATACTAAACCTTGCATGGACATGATTACCGTAACCAATCTTTTTTTTTCTCACACTTTGTATATACTATAGAGTTGTGCTTTAGCGATAATTAAGTTGTATACAATTAGTTCGGGTCATTTTTATCATTAATTAATTAGTCACAGTAGATAACGTGTTTCATTGTAAACATTGACATAAAATCATTTTTCTTAAAAACGTTTATACTTTTAGTAAACTTTTTATCGCGTATTAAATATATGGTATAAGCTTTTTTTCCTTAAAGTCTTAAAATTAGTTACATAATTTTTTTTCATTCATTTACGTTCGTTTATCTTCTGTTCAACGTTGATCTTATTGATGAAGTATATTTCATTATGTGTTTAAATTTATTTGAAGTAAAGATTTTATAATAATTGGCCGTAAATCTGTAGTAAAATTTTACATTTGTTAATTTTAATTGAGCTATGCAAAATAACTCTAGATCTGTTTATTTGTTTCTGAGTGTAGCTGGTTTGAATTCTTTCTTTTTGTCATATTAGTTTAATTCAAGATAGACCTATTGAAACATTCTTGTTACTTTATAGCGGTATTTTATCGAAAACTGATAACAATGCTATATTTATTGATCTTTGATCTTCATAATCTTTGCATGTTGTATTTATTTCCGTTCTGCATTATTTGTGACTAGCAACATTGCGTACAACTTTAGAAAAGTTTCATGTAGATATTTGGCTGTACAAAATAAATTGATTTCATTAGTTTTTCAACACATAAATTCTATTCCCTTTAGTGACATATCTATTAAGTTTTTACACTTCGCTTAGAGTTTTAACTACGAATAAAAAGCGGCAAAACATCGAACCTCAGTTTTAGTTTTCCTATATCTTGCGTAAAAAATAGTAATAAAAGAGATTAGATAAACGTAGTAGATTAGAAGTTATGTTATGTAGGAATAGATAAGAGTTTATGAAAAATATCGTTCGTTAATCCATTCATAATTTATAAATCCGTAATAGTTAACCCCACGTTTTCTAAAATTTTAGTTGCCTTTGTTCTATATTATACTACGTTTAGTTACCAGCCTTCTTCTCTTCTTTTATCTTAATAGATATCGACAAAGACAATCTTGTTTCGCACCCGTATTGTGTCACGCTCTCGCTATACCTTCGTTTCACTAAAGTTTTGTTTTGCGCAGCATCTTCTGCAATTTTGTGTTCTGCAAAGTTAGCATGACAATACATGGACAATCTTTTTCCTTAAGAATAATATCTCCCATTTAGTTATCTAGAACGGATGTTGTTGATCGAATACAGAAGATAATTCACGTGTATGCCTGCCTGACCCTCATTTGTAATTCATATTTCATGCAATATCGAACGATATTAGCATGTTTACTTTGCATGCGTCTTTCAGTCCCTCAGACATTGCGTCAGCCAAATCTGAATTATGTTTTCTTATGAGGACAAATGGTCAAACAGGTCACCTCATGTTAATCATTGAATATCTATTTGCAAGGCTGAAGAGATTTCTAGATTTACAAGTAGAACATAGAGACGGTTCGCAATGACCGAAGAATGAATATTATGTTTGAGAAAGCGCGTATTATACTTTCCCTTTTTACACTTAAATTGTTTGAAATAAACACTTTTATCCTTATAACAAAGATGACGTTGTAATTTTTAATAATGAAATCTATTATAATAAAGTCTATTATTAAATCCATTTATCATTTTAAAGGCTTGACCAAAAACTCTTCATGGTTAATCCTGAAAATTTGATGTCATAATATAATTTGTACATAATAAAATTAATATATTGTAGGCAAACAATGATGTTACATTCTTTATTTTCCTCCGGAGCCCATAGGGTACAATCGGTTGAAATGATTGGTTTATCAAATGAATTATTGTTTTTGTTATATATTTTTGTTACTTTAGGGCGACTTCGGTACATCGGCTAGCTCTGGTCGATACCATGTGGTGTTCGCGTTCTTCGTGGCCCTCATGTTCGCGACCACGCTAGGATCGCTCTTCGGATACCACTGCTATTTAGTAGCACATAATAGGACCACCTTAGGTAAGTTTGCGTTCTTACTATGTTTTACGTTGTAACTTGTATGTTTTTGACATCTCCATTATTTCAAAGTGTTTATGCGTTATTTTTTACTTTTTATACGTGTTCGAGTTTTCTTGTACTTGTCGTATTCTCTATGTGATTAAGTTTAGAATCTGCTTGTTGACGTAACCAGATATTTAGATGTAAATAAAGAATTAATTCTTGCGCAATAGCCACTTGTTTATATTCGCTTCAGTGGTGACCTTGACTTCTACAGTTAGATGGTTTTTGTATAAATTGACTTTTTAGACAATTCCAAATATGGAACGGAAGCAATTCACACTTTTAGTACGTTATTTATTTCTAATGGTGACATTTTAAAGTTAACTTTTCGTTTAAATACGTATAGTTTTAAATGCATAGAAAATATCCGTATTTAGGCAAATGTAAGAGAGTTCATCGAGAGCAATTACTGTATAGTATATCGTGTATGGCTTGGTCGCAAAAATGAGGTTTTAATTATAAAATCGTAAATATTCTACATCATTATGTATTTCGATTCTTATAATCTAGCGTTTAGTGATGTGACTGTATTTACTGCAATCTGAATAAAAAATATAAGAAAAAAAATATTAAAAGATAATCGAAATTTCGATTTTAATTTCAGATGTGCTATTAGCTCGGCTCGGACGAGATCGTCCGTCTAGAAAGATTATAAGCAATTTTATTACCGCAATGATTGATGGTAAATGTGGTCACATAATGAAATATCGAGAAAAATTGTATTAGTTTTGTTCTTGACATTTATATTTTCTTAAACTTAGTTATTATGATACGTAAACAGTTTTATAAAAGTAGGTAAAAACACCTTAGATATTTTATTTGATAGAAATCATGTAATATTTTAGTTAATATGATCATTTTCACTAATAATTTGATTGTGGGTCAATCAATAAAAGAAATTTAAAAAATATGTTATACAAAATATGTTTGAAACCTTACAGAAGCGTTCCGAGCCCCAATGTTCAGAGGGGGCGCTGACAAGAATGGCTTCTCCCTTGGCGCTTTCAACAATTTTAAAGAGGTATTCGGGAATAGTCCGAATCTCTGGATGTTGCCTGTCTTCACAAGGTAAAGAGAGCTTTTTTAATTATTCATTTTCTTTTATTTTATCTGTACAATTAATAAACCCTTGTCTTATTGACTACAATGACCGTCTTTATAAAAACATTGAAGCAGCTATGGATGACATTTGCAAAGCAAAAAGGGGTATATGAGTCACTAAAATTAAAATTATCTGAAAATAATACTGTGTAGAAATCAAAAATACCCACAAAAATACAAAAGTAGTTTTAACTTCTCCTTTGTTGGTTATTAGGTTTAGTTAGAGTTTAAGAATTTTTCCCCTTATAGTTCCTTCACCAATTGAAATACTTATTACATACAAATGTCATATAAAAAGTATAATTTTGTGGGCATGTATTACGTGTATTGGGGTGTTTCATCATTCGTGTGCCTAAGTTTCACTTTTATATTTTTTACGTTGTGTAGCGTTCGATATGTCAAAAGCGAAGACAAATTTATTCAAATTTAACGTTTTCATGTTATTTCAAACTACCCACAGTGTACTTTTTGAATAAAATTAAATTTTTTACCACAATGGGATTCGTAATTGACAAATCGATTTCGACGTCATTAATTTCTTCTCCCCAGTGTAACCCTAAACCCGCATGCGTTACATGTTTGGATAAATGCGTGTATCCGTTTTTTTAGCTAGTTTTAATACAATGAAAGTTTTCCTGACGCATGTCAACTAACGTCGCGAAAAAGAAGTGAATGACATTATTCTAACATGACACCTTATTGCGTTTGACTTAACAATACCTTCGGATTTTTCAAATTGATCTAGATTCAAACTAAAAGAGTTATTAGTGATTGATTTTAGAAACTCTAGATTTTAATAATCGTTATCTTCGACTAATCATTTGCATATATATTTATGGTTTATATTTATATTGTTTTTATAATTCCTTTTAGATTAATGTATGGATGTTTTAACATGAATAGGATTTTGCTTGGCGCTCGATAACAAATTGTAATGGTAGTCTACACTAAATATAATTATATATTTTTTATAAATTTTAATCTATTACTTATACAAACAAAAATGAATAGAATTCATTGAATACTGCTCGTGCACGATAATACGACAACAGATATGATAGCATCATAGTGGCATGTAGATACAATGTAACTCATGAAATTAACCTAAAGAGACCTAATGAACATTGATAACTTCGTCCCTCCGTTAATGTCGATTAGGTAGAATTCATCGTCATGAACTAATCGCAATCCGCGAAACTCATGTGTTTGTGCACGCTTATTACACGCACAAGAGAGTTAAACAACACAGTAACACCGTACCAATGCTTTTTTAATGTTGAAACATTTGATTTTGTTCTCTAACACTAACAACTAACACTAAACCAAACATGTAACTTGTAGCAATATATTAATTACTAAAAGATCATTAATTACTAAAAATAATATATTTTCTGATGCCATATTATTATATTTAACTGTTCGTCAGTTATTTGAAGATTGTGCCTCCCAAATACTGCCGTAGCTATAGGTTTTCTTTAACGTAATATATGACATAATAATACGCGCGTTTGCCGCCATTTCGCGTAGGCAGTTAACACGTTCATTGCCAAGTCAGTGTTGAATCTTTACAAAATTTACTTTTAAGTAACCAGTTAGGTATACTTAGGCAATGAGACGTTGTATTTCCGATTACAAAGGCGGTGGATACTGAGGTTACCCACAAGTGTCTGATTTTAAGTTTAAGTTAAAGGCGTCACAGATAAGGAAATGGCAGCAAAATAGACTAATTTTATTCAATAAAACGTCGAGTTCACACGTATCGGTCGAGTAGTTGGCAATGAAGGTGTTAAGATCATTCGGTGATGGTTTTGTCAGCAATGGCGACGGGTGCGAATTCCCCGTGCGCCGCGAGCACCAGCTGCAGACGTTCGCGCCGCAAGACGCCCATGGCTACGAATCCATGGGTACCACTCGCTCCAGGTCAGAACTAAGCCATTGCCCGCACACGATCGACGCCCACATACCTTGAGGACCACGCCCCTTTACTACACATAGATTTTTACACACCCTCTAGGTCAAATTTTAGAGTCCTAAAGGATTTGAAACCACCCTCAAAATTTATAAATATAAGTTTTTTTTTAGTTTGTTATAGTTAAATTATAATAGTGCCAAACTATTGTTGTATTTCAGTTATGATTTAAACATTCCTTTTTACGAATGCATGTTATTACTTTTTTAACTCTTCATTACTGTGCCAGTTACCAATTAGGTAGAAATTTAAATTATAATAATAAATTGTTTTTCACATGATTAACGTTTGATTAAACTCGAATTTATGTTGATAGGAGAATAAAATCATAATCGAATAAATGCTTTAACTTACGTTGTTGTCTAAGAATAGAAAATTTATCGCATAATATAATATGTCTTTGAATTTTTAATAACTTTGATATTTCTAGTGTGTAGAAATCGTTGACATATTTTAAAATTAACCAATTTTTTTTATATAATTTAATTTTCAAATTAATGGCTAAATCCTCAAGTTGTGTGAGTGTCAGACGTCATATTTATATAGTAATAAAATTTAATATGAACATATTTTTTTATAATAATTAATTATATTATGAGGTTCGCTTTTGTACGCATTTATTTATTTACGAGCTATATACAACACACAAGACTGAAGCTAGACAATTCTCTGTTCATAATTTGTAAGTATGATTTTGTGCGAAATAAACTTTTTGTTGAATTGTTTCGTTTCTTTTATTTATTTTTTTAACAGTGGCAACAAATGCTTTGTTCACCTTGGCGACACTGCGCTTTAATGTCAAGCGCAACAACGCTTAGCCTTTAGATTAGATTTTTATATTGATTTGCCATGCAGTAGCAAGCAAATGGCAATGCTATAATAAATTATTCTATTCTTATGAGGAGGTTGTGTGGTATAAATTATGCAGTCATAAGGCTTGCGATTTAATTATCACTCTCAGTTGGTACAATGTCACTTTACCAATTACTATATAAAAGCTATAGTAATAGTATATTTTTGATTACATAATATCTTTAAATAAAAATATTTAGCCTTAACTAAATTAAAATTATATCAAGCAGCTGAGGGTACTTTTACATTTTACCTTATTTATGTAAAATATTATAGATTTTTTTTACATTTTCGCCTTCCATGCACTCAGTCTTTCTCTTTATTATTTGTATATAAATTTTTATGAAGACGCTTCTGTTATATATTTTTAATATTTTATTTTATTCAAATTGTTTTTGTTGATTCTTTTTATTTCGTTTATATCGGAAATTAAAATTGTCGACACAAGCGATCTTCATAACAGCTTTATAATTAGCTTGATATTTATTTGTCGCGTTTGATTAAAAATCGTCGTAATGTAAAAACGGCTAACAGCATTAAATATAATTACAAATGTTTAACATATTTAGTAACGCGCAAAAGTTAAATTAGTTAAATAATAATCGAATCTGCAATCTTTGACAAATTTGTAACTCTTATATGATTAGTCATTTTGTATTACGGCGCTTTTTTGAAAAGGCGACATATCTCATAAATCAAAATTTCCTTTATAACAAATATGGGGCGTATTGAGATCATAGTTTTGTTAACATTTTAGCATTGAGGGCGGCCACGAGACTGAGCGGTGGAGACTTTGCCCCCGAAGGGCGCGCACCGCCCCGCAAATAGTATAAGGGTGTAATCATAATGACCAATTTTATAATTACAATACTTTTTAATTATCAAAAATTATTAAATAAAAAAATTTCTAACCTAAAAACAATGCTTTTCATTCATTGGCACCAAAATCACACGTCTGGAGTTTCGATTTCAAAATTTTAAGTCATTCACTTCTTTTTTAGTCTGGTTTATTCGGATATCGAGAGATTTCTAGCGTCGTTTTGCATGCTAATTTACGTTTAGCCTATTCGCGTATAGTTACGTAGTAGTCTGGTATGTATAGAAGAGCTGTAATGTCATATTCAACCTGACGTCACTTTTCGACATGTAACCCTGAACATTCATCATTCAAATAAAATATCTGTTAGGAATGAGTTTAGAAAATGTACAGTAGAATGTAGAAATTATATTCTACAAATATTTTGATATATTAAAAAAAAAATATTTTCTATGCATCGTATCCTTTTTTTATGTTTTTTTCATGAAAAAGCAATCTATTATGTATTTATTTTGTACTAACTTATGTATCCCCATATATTCAATTTTATTATGTACACTACATATGTACCAATCCTAAATGTCATAGCTACCGGATACAAAGAAAATAAATCTTCGAGACGCATTAGAATGCATTAATTGATCAACGGTTAGTTGACTAAAGTTACAATAGTAATTTTGAGACGATTAGTCCAACAAACTCTCTCCATGTTAAACTTTATGTATAAGACCAAATTTTAACACCATATTTTACATCCATTTATTTAAAAATTAAATATACACACAATATTTTTAAAATAAACATTACGAAGTTAACACGTTTGCTTTTTTGTAAGATTTCATAAAAGGCACATGCAACATTCACTTGTGTTACCATATAAAAAAATCACCTAGTTATAGCAACACAAAACCACAGACATTTTTAACTAGTGCATCAAACACGCACGAATAGACTTGGTAACCACAGACAATTTTATAATAGTGCATTAAATACGAATCATAGATTTTGTAAGTCGATTGTACTTTGGTGACATATAGCTATGGAGACGGGATCATATATCCCCTTCCTCAACCTGACGAAGACACGGAATCCCTACTGAGCTCAGAGAGGTGGGACCGCTGGGGCGAGCGCGCGCGACCCTTCGACGAACGCGAAAGCTCATCGTACGACGAACTCTGAGAGCTGCCATCATCAACGCAAAGGTTACGAATAAAGATGGGTAATACTAAGATCATGTCTTTGTAGCTTTTTATATGCTTATACATTTTTCGTCATAATTGGCGAATTATATGGGATGCTTTTTTGGAATTCGATTGTCGGTGTACATATTTCATCTACTTTTAGAATTTTCTAGAACAGCCATTAACGTTGGTGTAATTTAGTTTTTAAGAGACTAAAAGCTAACTCTGCTTATCTCTACTTTTGAGGAATTACTACGACGTTATCCGTGATCTACTTAAATTCTGGTTATTACAGAAATGCAATGTGACTTAAAATATTTGTTTAACTCAGATATAATAGCGTCTTAAAATATACTAAATAAATCTGAAGTACAAGATAATGAGATGGGTAGTATATTAAAGAATTACATACATATTCTTTTATGGCAAACACGTACAGGAAATTATTAGGCAAAATTAATTTACATTTATAAGATTTGCTCCGTGAATATAAGAAATATTTTCAGTTATATGTGTTTAGAAGAAAGGCAAAATTTTATTGCATTTGCTTCTATATCTAATGTTTTATTCCTTTCGTTTTTTCATATAAATTATAAGTCAAATGTGAAAACACATAATGGAATGTACTACGTTTGCTGATCATTTTTTTGATACTTACATTTATAAAAGATAAATTAGTGTAACAGTCTTTAAGGATGCTAAATTAAGTCTAAAATATTCGTAATAGTATAATGTATGTTAAAACATATTGGATGTATGTAAGTAGTATATTTTATATGTATAACTGTATGTCGATTGCAGTGACACTTGTATTAACATATTGTCATCCCGCACATTCCCTTTGCAAAACAAGAGACAGCAATATATGCTATGCTAATACAAGCCTTACGGCAGTGAAATTCAACTTAAGGCCCTTCGTACTTAAGGATACGTAAATCTTCGCAACTCTGTGGCTTTGTTGCTTAACTGACGCAATACAATAAAACAAAGGTTCTTACATAGGCCAGCGTTGACATTTAGTTTTTTTAATTTCGTCTCAAAGCTAATGGCTCGCTACCTGTTAGTCAATGTTGTTGTAAAATTGCTGAAATTTTCAAGACAGCGGAGTAAATCAATACAGTTGACATTTAGTAAAGACGACTCGTACACATTATATGTATGCATTGCGAGTTGCGGCGATACTTGCTATTCAACTTTACGATATTAGTTTCGACGATTTACGTTACCTCGTGTACAAAGAGCCTAAGATTGTCCTAACTATAAACACAATTCCAAATTACTAAATTTATTTTACGTTTTATTTCATATAATAATTCTATTAATTTATTTATTGTAAAATATGAATTGCCTTTTTTGCGTTCACTATAAATATAAATAAAATAAAGATAATTTAAATATTTACATAATAAAAATTGTATAGATTTCAAAAAATAAACAAGGATGATTTTTTTTTCTAATACTATTTTTAACACATGAACCTAGTCAATAGTGTTACAAACTCTATTTTTATGCGAACGAGATCTATAAATAAAAAAATGGGCTCGACATCTGAAGAAAATTATATTTTTTTGACAATATTGCTTTAATTATGTTTGAATGATTCATTTTGAGAAGCTACTTAATAGTAGGCGATATTATGAAGTTAAACCAAAAAATACGAACTCATTATATATGAAATCGTATTTTTTGGTTTGGTTTTTATTTCACACAGATTGTATTTTTTTTTATTTTCGCAAAACATATGTAGTTCTTGGTTACTGTGTTATCAAAATTTTACATAATAATGTACTTAATAATTCCATATGAAGCATTTATTAGTTTTACGGTTACATGCGAAATTTTTTTTTGTTTTTCTAAGACCTTTTATTTTTTTAATCAATAAACTGTATTTTTAATGTGTGATATTCCTAATGTTGACTTATTTTGTATTTTTATATGATTATTTGATGTGTGTGCTTGTAAGTTTTTTTTTTCAGGTGTGCTGAATTTTTTAAAAGCGACTATGCGTTATTTTGTAATTTAGGTACGCGATGAAACGCAAATTTAATGGAATTTGATAAATGTTGTTTGAAATAGTGAAATAAAGTAGTTCTTTTGTAATAAAATGTTTATTAATACTTATTTTATATTGGTGGGTATGTATGGCGGATCACATTAATTGATAACAATCACAGAATAAAAATTAATTATAAAATAACATATAAGATTATCCTTCTGACGACTTTGAGATAAAATTACAGCATTCATAAGAAAACTGACATTTAAAACATTTACTCGCTCAATACTGTTTTTTTTTTTAATTTATGCTTTAATTAGAGATATTTAACCTTTATTTTGTAGTTTGTACTAAAATTAAACCTTAACTGCTGTAATCTCAACTACGGTGGTATTAAAAACATTACAACCGAGGAACATTTATGAAACTAACAAGCTAAATATTTAAGTAAACCGAACACTTAAAAATCAATAAAAAAACAAAATGATCATAATATTCCTAACAAACTTATCAATCTAATAGTAATCACAAAAAAAAAACTTCAAAATGTTATACTTTTAAAGTAATTGAGAAACGAAACATTTAACATATTTGTAGGTCCACAACCGAAACATATTGTCATCTCTTTTGTTTCATTAAAAAAAAAGAGAGATAACAATATTTTGTAAAAGCACATCGACAGTTGAACAGGGAATTTCCCTTACTATTGTAAGTATTAAAATTTCCGATAACCATTCTTAAGAATTAGCCATTGACATAAAGCCTTATAATCTAAAGAAAGTAATAAAATCACTCGTTACCATAAACAAATTAAAAAAAAAATTAAATATTAGTTTAAGAGATTAATAAAATCACATCATCATAATTATAAGGAGCATAGATATAGTGCTGCGAGTTTATCTGACCCGGTGAGAGGCGTTACTATCGCGGTGAGTTTTGTAAGAAAATATTTATAATCTACATATGCATGAAAAAGACGGTCAAACTATGACAAGGATCTTGTGACAGTGTTATGACGTTGACATGGAGGGCGCTAGTGAGCCATCATAATTTATTTTGACTTATGCTCACCAGGGCAGATAACTAACTTTAGAGTTTGCCAATGGAGAGACGTTTTCGAAATGTCATTTTGTATTATAAATTACAACACAATACAACTGGAGTCCTCCGGAGAGTTTTTTGCCTCACTTTTTTTGCTCCGGATTTAGTTGTCTATAAGTTAGATCTATGATAAACAGTATTCAATGCATTTAAAAATCAAAACATACCTTTAAATAGTTAAAGATGATAACAGCTCTCTCAAACCACTGGCATCTGTATTCTTGAATATATCTCTGAATGCTCTTGCGCATGTCGCTTCCTTCTCCAAGTTCTTGGATATCCTCTGAGCTCGTTGTGTGATGTCTTTAGGTATCCCGGCAAGTCTGGCTGCGTTGAAACCATATGACTTGGGGCATGAGCCCGGAGTCAATTTGTATAAGAATGTTATTGTTTCTTCTGGTATATCATCTGTGTCTGTTTCCTCCGTCTCTACCATGCAGGCCTTGAAACAAATAAGTATTATATTACTTATATTATAAATGGGAATGCATTAGATGCATGGATGTTTGTTTGAATGTATCTCTAGAACGACTGAACGGATCTCGATGAAATTTGGCATACATATAGAATATATCTAGAAGAACACAAAAGCAACTAATTATGTTTTTTTTTTAAATTCCGCGCGGACAACAGCTAGGTAACTTAATAATTGAAAACATTTAGCGAGATAAAATAGTTTGACCTGATGGTAAATAATAAACTATTTAAGTAAGAAGTTAGTTACACTATTAATATGTCAAGAACGGCTGAACTGATTTGGCTAGAAATTGATGAGGAGGTAGCTCCGAATCAGGAGACTGAAATAGGGTAACGTCCAGTTCCGCTATTCAAATTGTGATTTGATCGCCGAGGGATTTATTCAACGATACCGCTACTTGTATTCCGTGGCAGTGGTTTAAGAGCATTAGTGGTAAATATTCTTATTAAAACGCTCCCGAAAGCAAGGAGCATATGTATGCGTTGATCTATAAGCAAGAGAGGTGTGTCAGGACCCCTCTGGATTACAGGCGTACTACTGACCATATGCCCCAGTGTAAGTCCGGGCAGTGCGGCGACGTAGCGCACGAGGGCGTGGTAGTGCGTGCTGAAGACGCAGCGACAGCCGCGCTCCGCCAGCGCCGCGCACACCGCGCACGCTATCGCCGTACCGTCGTACGTTGACGTCCCGCGACCTTATCAACGAATACAATCATAAATGTCACATTGCCAAACATATTGTTATCTCTGTTTTGTCAAAGATAATGTCAGGGATGACGATATGTTTTATACACAAAGGCATATGAGAGATATGTTTTATGACAAAAAAGGGAAACACCAGCAAAGTCGAAATAATTCCGCGGACAGTCTGATGAGTGTGTTCCGGAGACCTAATTTTACTCCTCTCTCCCTTCTACCCTTTTCTTTTAAGAAAAAGATGAGGAGGAGAGTAGATTTGATGGATGGTACCATATGCCGATTAAAGATAGGTAAAGTATTGTAATTCGGCAATTGGCTTAATACAAAAAAAAAACCAATTTATATTCGGCTTATAATCTCTCTTTGTCTGCCTCTCTTACCCAACTCATCGAGCAGTACAAGCGAGTGTTGCGTGGCATGTTTCACAATAGCCGCCGTCTCGTTCATCTCCAGCAGGAAAGTGGACTGCCCTGACAGGATGTCGTCTGCCGCGCCCAGCCGCGTGAAGATGCGGTCCACTATACTGAGGCTGCACTCCTCCGCCAGCACGTAGCTACCCTGGATACAAAATGTTTATTATCTTAGGTTTTTAATGTAACATTGCCTACTGCTCTCTGATCTCTATGGAAATGAGTTATATTTATTTCTGCATATGTTTTAGTAGGACACGTTTGTACCTAAAGTCAATAAATATAAGAAGGCCCAAAACGCAATCTATGCATATTATTAAAATTGAAATGTCTGAAAATGTCTTGAAATCGAGAGAATAAAAAAAATTGTCTATGTTTATCCGCATGGCCACGTTTGTTCCACATAATCTCCCGAACGACTGGACCGATTTTTAGGGGACTTGGTCAGGTTCCAATAATAAAAGATTTTTTTTATTCAGCTCTGACAAAGTCACAGATGGCCGCAAGTTTGTAGTAACAAACATCCTAACTTTTACATTTATAATATTAACCGATAAACCGTATTAAAATCTGTCACTACTCACGAGATGTGCCAGTACAGTAAGCAATCCAACTTGACGCATGAGTGTGGACTTGCCGCCCATGTTTGGTCCTGTCAGCAGCAACAGGCTTCCCCCATCCCCTAGTGATGTGTCGTTGGGGATGAACTCATCCACGATAGGTATACATGGATGACGACCTTCCACTATCTTGATGTATGGCTGAAATATAAAAAATGCAGTTCTTATCACAATGATGATTGTGTCTAATCAAACAAGGATATCGGAGCTGGACAGGCATTGAGAGTTTAGTTATGTCAGAAAATTGTAAAAAAACATCTTGTGAAACTATTTGACCTTGAAAGGAAGTCGCTAGTGAGCTTTCATAATGAGACTTACGTTCACTTGGTCAGATCATCTTGTCGGTGTATTTGGTGTCGCCTATGCCCACCGGGTCAAATAAATATTACAGACTATGCTTTACCTTAGTATTACTATCATACGTGACATCAGGCAGACATATATTGCCCGTCTGTTGTCGTGCATACTCCGCGAGTGACATTAGTACGTCGAGTGTTGCAAGGCAGTTGACAGCGGCCTCCCACTGCGTGTAGTGAGACGAGAACTTTTCCAGTATCCTCCGGCTTAAGTCCCGGAGTATGCTCGACTTCTGATCCTCAGCGGCTATCATACGGGCGAGGAAGTTCTGAAAAATTCCAAAATTATTTGTAAATGTAAAGCTGTTTCTAATGGCGAGTCGAGTGTACATAATTAAATTTATTTAGGTATTTTTCTCACAGTGTGAATTTTATTTTTAGTGTTTCTACAGCGCCATCTATTGAGCATCCATCACTTATCAGTGAATAGTACCACGAGATGGCGCTATTTAATTTCTTGAAATAGCAATAAATTACAATTTTAAAAACAAAACGAGACTCTATAGAACTGTATCTCCTGTCAAAATTATGATTAAAAATCTTTATATAGTAGAATTACCTTGGTCTCAGCAGTGGAAAACCTCTTGAATCCTTTCCTAGCGCCCTCTAGATGATATTCAGAGCCTGCCTTTGCCGCGCTGTTCTGTGGCACTTCTAGCTGGTAACGTTTC